CTAATCATCAGGGAAATGCAAATCAAAACCAATATGAGATACCACTTATCCCCAGTGAGAATGATCTTTATCAAAAAGTCCCAAAACAATAAATGTTGGCGTGGATGCAGAGAGATAGGAATACTCATACACTGCTGGTGTGACTGCAAACTAGTGCAACCTCTGTGGAAAGCAATATGGAGCTACCTCAAAGAGATACAAGTAGATCTACCATTTGATCTAGTAATCCCATTACTGGACATCTACCCAAAAGAACAAAAGACATTCTATAAAAAAGACATCTGCGCTTGAATGTTTATAGCAGCACAATTCACAGTTGCAAAGACGTGGAAACAACCCAACTGCCCATCAATACATGAGTGGATTAATAAAATGTGGTATATGTATACCATGGAATACTATTCAACTACAAGAAACAATGGTGATCTAGCACCTCTTGTATTATCCTGGATAGAGCTGGAACCTATTCTACTAAATGAAGTATCCCAAGAATGGAAAAATAAGCACCACATGTACTCACCATCAAATTGGTATTAACTGATCAACACCTAAGTGCACATATAGGAATAAGATTCATCAGGCCTCAGGCAGATGGGAGTGGGGAAGAGGGGCTGGGTATATATGTACATAATGAGTGCAATGTGCACCATCTTGGGGATGGACACGCTTCAAGCTCTGACTGGGGTGGGGGACAAGGGCAATATATGTAACCTAAACATTTGTACCCCCATAATATGCTGAAATTAAAAAAGAAAAATAAATAAAGTCATGTCCCAACAACAAAAAAAATTGAAGTACAGAGCCAAGCACAGCGGCATGTACCTGTAGTACCAGCTACTTAGGAGGCTGAGGAGGGAGGATTGCTTGAGACCAGGAGTTTGAGGTCAGCCTGGGCAATATAAATATAGCGAGACTGCTGTCTCTAAAACAAAGCAAAACAAAACAAAACAAAAATTTAAGACAGTTGTCCTTGGTAAATGCAGAGAATTGCTTCCAGGACTTCCTCTCCACCCTTGTGTACCAAAACCAACTCCTGTAGTCAACCCTGTGGAACCTGTTTATAGGAAAGCTGGCCCTCTGTTTATGTGGGTTTTGTATCCCTCAGATACTGTATTTTCATTTGTGATTGGTTGAAAAAAAAAATCCATCTATAAGTGGACCATGTTTAAGACCATGTTGTTCAAGAATCAACTGTATCTTGGAAGCTGTAATTCCTACAGATTGACACATAAGGACTACCACAGGGCAGCTCTGGCCAGTGATAGGTAGCCACAGTATATGAAGGGTCACATGAGCATGGAGCACTGGGTCTACTGGCGCCAGCTCCACTGATGGGGTTCTCTCTGCCTTACTAAAGTCATCTGCTTTGAAGGACTCAGGGGACAGTGTGCATGGGAGCCAAGGCAGGTTAGTTGGAAGACCAGAAAGTAGATGAGCCTGAGCAATACCTGTGTATGGCTCTCAGGATCCAAAAAGCAGTGTGAGTGTAGCATGGTCTGGCCCTTCAGATATCCTGTGGCAGGGGTAATTCAGCAATGAGATTTTTGTCCAGTGAATTTGTATCCTACAACCTTGATAAATTCATTTATTTAGGAGCATTTTTATATATTTTTTAGGATTTTCCAGGTAATTATGTCATCTGTGATGACCATGTAATCTGTGGATAAAGACATTTTTACTTCTTCCTCTTCTATCTATCTATCTATCTATCTGTCTTTCTGTCTTTCTATATATCTATCTATTTTGCCTTTCTGTATAGGCTCGTAACACCAGTACAATGTCATATACAAATGGTGAGAGTGGACATCCTTACCTTTATCTCAATTATTTTACTTTTAAGTATGATGTTAGATATTCTTTATAAGGTTGAGAAAGTTTCTTTTTATTACTAGTTTGCTGAAAATTTTATCATGAATGAATGTTGAGTTTTGTCATGCTGTTTCTGCATATTTTGAGATGATCATATGGTAGTCCTTTTTTAGTCTGTTAATATGGTAAATTACATTGATTGGTTTCGAACATTAAATTAACCTTACATTTCTGGAATAAACTCCACTTGGTCATGACGTAATATCCTTTTTATATATTATTGGATTTTGATTTGCTAAAAATTTCATGAGGAATTTTTGCATCTATGTTCTTGAGGAATGTAGATCTGTAGTTTTCCTTTTAGTATCAGTCTTGTGCTGCCTCTTATTCAATGTTTATGAACAGTTGTTTCATCTATTTTGTCCTATTTTCTAATTGTAGCAGAAGGGAAATTCCTATAGCAGTTAATCCTACAGTGGGTGGAAGCAGAAATTATATGTGGGGCTTTGAGGAGATGCAGAATACTCTGGGCACTGACCAATGAAAACAATTGTTAGCAGTGCTGGAGCAGAGACTGGGAGGCCTCCTCTTGTGCCAGGCAGGGAAGACCTTTTCTATGTTCTTGATTTCCTCAAAGAAGATTTTTTTCCTAAACACATTTTGGACTTCTCTCTCTTCTT